GGGGTGCCCGGGGGGGGGGCGCGGAGGCCGCGGGCGCGGTGCGGGACCCTCGCTCCGGGGAGCCCCCGGGGCTGTGCGGGTCCCGCCGGCACCGCGACATCGCCGCGACCCTCAGAGGGGACACACGGGCGGGCCCCTCAGAGGGGACACACGGACCCCGCTCATCGCTCCCTCCTTGTGCTGCTCGCTGCAGGTCTGGGCCATCCCCCGGCCGAGTCGCACCTGGCCGCGCGGCCGAGGAGCAAGCGATGTTCCTGCAACAGCTGGCTGGATAAGGAATGCATCTACTTCTGTCACCTGGACATCATCTGGGTCAACACACCTGGGTGAGCAGAGCGCGGCGCTCGGGGTGCTCTGCTGATGGGCAGGGGCTGTACCTTCTGCTGCAGGAGGGTGGGAGAGGCTCCCGGTGCTCTTCAGCTCTGGCAGCACCTGCTCCGAGGTGCACGGCCGGCCCAGAAGGGGACAAACTGTGCTGCTGCTGCTGCTGCTGATCAGGTGTTTGTCCAACCCCCGGGGGTCGGGGTGAAAGCACAGGGCGCTGCTTCCTCCCGGGCTCGGCTTTTCCTGAGGTTTGCACCTCTGCGAGCCCGCAGCAACACGGAGATGTTGTGGCTGCGAGTCAGAAAAGTTCCTCTCCCCGCTCGCACGCGTAACCCTGGCTGCTGCCTGCCAGTATTGTTAATGAGACAGTGGTGGGCTGGCACTGCGGGCCGCGGCTGCCAAGTCCTGCCCTCAGGAATGCCGGAGCAGCTTTCCCAGCGCTTTCAGACCAATGGCCATCGCACTGGAGCACAACACATGCGCTCAGGTGTGGTTATAATCGTGCTCGCTGACATGCATTTACAACTCGCTGCTTGCTTGGGGAATAGTTGCAGTCGCTGCCAATCCTGCAGCCTCTGGGAGAGGAGATTGCCATCAGAGATGGAGCAGGAGTGTGCTCGCAGCTCTGGGAGCACCAGAACCTGCTCTGGCCCCGAGACTCCTGGGGCTGTGCAGTGTCCTGTGTGTTAAACCTGCGGGGAAGGAGAGCGCTGACCCCTCAGCCGTGCCGGGGCTGCTCCTGCGGAGCTGTGCCACCCATGGGAGCCGCCAGATCGCCCAGCCCGTGTGGCAACCCTTGCACGGGCACCTGGGCTGCTGCAAGGAGAGAAAACTCCCGTCCCAGCCAGCACAGAGCGGCCGTCCCGGCAGGGAGGGGTGGGGTGCGGAACGCAGTAGGTGGAAGAGGAGCTGGAGTTTAAAGCTCAGACCTATCAGTGACCTTTTCACCTTCTGTCTGTAGATGAGTCTTTTATTATCCTGGCACTGGCTTGGCTGCCTCCCAGCACCCAGATACAAACTTGCTGGCCAATAAAAAGCTGGTGGCATAGCTGAATTCCTTTGTTTTTCCCAGGCACACCGCTCCCTACGGCTTGGGCAGCCCGCCAAGGCGGCGCAAGAGGTCCGCGGGCAGGTGCGAGTGCTCGCACTCCAGGGACAGCATCTGTGCCACCTTCTGCCAGGGCAGGCCTGGGTAAGGCTGGGGGTGTCCCTGGGGGCTGCTCAGGGGGTTGAGACAGGCAGGGCTCAGGAGCTCCCTCCTCTTTGCCAAGCTGGGACTTGTCTGGTGGCCTTTTCTCCCTCCCGAGAGCCCTGGCCGTGTCACTGGGTGGTTTGGGTGTACAAGGGTCCCTTCAGCAGCTGAGAGGCAGCAGTGTCACCTCCATCCCTGCTGCTGCTGCCAGGAGGCTGGGGAAGCTCTGAGTGTGCTGGCGGGAAGGGGGAGCTGGTGGGGACGGGACAAGTGACAGTGTGGAGCTTTGGGACACCAGCATCTCCTGCTCAGAAGGGAAAGCTGGCAATGCTCTGGGTATGGGGACAAGTGAGAGTGTGGAGCTTTGGGACACCAGTGTCCCCTGCTCAGAAGGGAGAGCTGGCAGCACCCTGGGAGTGAGGACAAGTGAGGGTGTGGATTTTTGGGACACCAGTGTCCCGTGCATGGCTCGGGGGGAGCACAGCAGGACTGCTCCAAGCTGGGACTCAGCCCAATGTCCCGTGGCCACCTCTGTTTACAGTGCATGTGGGGTGTCAGTTCAGCTCCAGCAGCGCTGCTGAAGGGAGGTGGAGCTGCTGTGGATATCTGTCATTATTCCACAGCCAGGCAATAGTTACAATCCCCAATCATTCATTTTGCCTGTGAATAGAGGAGCTCTGGCACGAGGGAATAGCAGTCAAAGTAAGCCCTGAATAGCTCCCAAATAGCTGCAATTAACCCTTCAAAGCCATGCATTCAGCTGTCTGTCACCGGGCCAGGCTCCCCCTGAGCTCCCCACAGCCTGGCTGTGGGTGGCTGAGACTTCTCCTCTTGCTCTTTAGGTACCTTCAGAGCCTGAAGCTCCCTGTGAGCTCTGGAGCATCAGCGAGGTCTCTGCAGAGCGGTGCCACGAGGCCTCCCCATCATGGGCTGCTGAGAGCTCTCAGGTGAGCAGGGCACCTAAACCCACTCTGAACATTCCTCATGAACACTTGAAGATGTGTGGTTGTGGCCCCAGGGTGCAGTTCCCACTGGGATCTGACCTTCTGCCTCCTCCTGTCTCCTCTAAATGAGGAGGCTTGGCTGTTTCTGCTCTCTGTGGCACTGAAGGCTCCATCTGAGGAGCCAGGGCTGCCTGTGCCCTTCCCAGTGGGGCAATGCCACACGAAATGTAATTCTTGGTTGGAGCAGGGAGTTCCTCTGTGGGACAGGCAGGTGGGTGACGGACAGACGAGGGAGAGGGGGATGGCATCGTGTAGGAAGATAATTTATGGGGCAGCAACTTTGGACCAAAGGACAGAGCTTTTCTAAGCCCACAGCAGGGAATTGTGGGGAGAAACAACAACTCCAGGAGTGTAACTGAGCTAAAGGGAGGTGGCAAATCCATGAATTGGTGGCAGTTAAATCAGGGGCAATGGGGACGCTTTCTGAAATGCACATTTGGGGAACCAGCACTTTGGGTCATCCTTGAATCCTCTGACACCTCGTTGGGTTTGATGGAGCTCCACTGTGCCTTAATGCAGCTGTGGACAGCAATTCCTGCTTCTCCTTCCCCATCTCCTGCTTCCCAGCAAATAGTGGTGAGGGGTAGATATTATATTATCACATGGGGTACTGAGTAGGGGGCAGGTGGGCTGGAGAGTGACCACGGTGTCCCTTCTGTCCCCAGGGACCTCAGGGTCTCCAGCCCGCACTCCAGCAAACACCAGCAGCACTCACGGAAGGACACACAGCCACCAGCTCTGCCTTGGGAAAAAAACATCTGGAAGAAGAAGAGATAAGAGATAGGTGCACACCAAGCTCACCAGAAGAATTTGGAGTCCTGTGGGTGCCACCAGCTCTGCTGTCCGTTGTTAGAGCTGAAGGGAAGGCCATGAGTGGAAGGGAAGGAAGTGGAAGTCTCCGTGTTCCTGCTGCATGAACCAGCGCTCAAGGGACTGCTGCAAAGGGAAAAACTGTCTCTCCATCCAGTCAGAGAAGTGTCCTGGAGCTGAATTGTGCCTTTTTGGATCAGGCAAGGGTCGTGCTGGAGCAGCACCAGCTGGATTGTGCCCTGGAGCCCTCAGCAGGGGCTCAGCCAGGAGTTCTGGGCAGGGCTGGACCAGACAGCACTGAGCCTGACACTGCCCTGGGCTGCTCTGCCTGGAGCTGTGCAAGCCTGGCCCATCCAGAGGGGTTTGGCTGCTCGCTGCAGTCAGGGAGGAGCTGCCTCCAGCCCGAGCCCACCTTTGCACTATTTTCTCCTGTCAGTCAGATGGATGAGGCTCCCCTCCTGTGGTGGAACAGCTCCCAGTTTGTGTTAGAGTTTATTTCATCAGCACCTGGAGCCAGCTGAGCAGTCAGGGGCACTCCCTGGCTGGGAAATCTCTGGGGTGGATTTCCAGGAGGCCCTGGCTGTGGCTGAGGTGCAGGATCAGTTACCCCAGGGATGGCCCCAAACCCAGGTGTGGCTGCTGTGGGGCTGGGCTTGTGCAGGAGCCCCCACCCCCCCAGCCAGGGCAGGGTGAGCAGAGCCCTGGTGTGGGTCAGTGACCCCATCTCAGCTCCTTGGACATACCCTCAGTGAGCACTTCCAGCTCCTGAATATCCCAACCTTCTCCCAGCTGGATGAGGCTGGGGCAGGAGAGGGCACACAAAGCCTGGCTTGCTGCTTGGCTTAGGTCAGCTCTGAGTCGGGCTCTGGACAGTAAATGAGCAGTCAGGGCTGGCAGGTGACCGTGGCAAGGGGAATGCAGCAGGTGAGGGACAGCCAGGTGGGAGAGACCACGAGGGAAGGGCCAGTTGGAACAGGGGCTGGAACTGGGTGATCTCTAAGGTCCCTTCCAACCCAAACCCCTGTGATTCTGTAAGGGGCCACAGCCCTGCCTGAGCTTAGGCTCAGGTTTAAACCCAGATCTGCTGGCCCAGGGGAGGGAAGGAAAAATTTGGGAAAAACACTGAGCCCAGGGCCTGGAAACCAACCTGGCAGGCCAAGGCAGCCCCAGGGCCCCAGAGCTGTGCCACAAATGTGCTTTTGTTTGCCTGGGCAGACTGAGCTCTGCAGGGAGCCAGGGCTGTCACCTGGGCAGGGCAGGTAAAGAACCACTCTCCACTGCTGGGTCCCTCTGCTGCCCACGCCAGGATTGCACAGGAGCTTTGGAAAGGCTGCTTGAAGTTGGTGGTGGACCAAAATCTGTGGCTGTTGCAAGTGTAGTCCCGATGGACAAGAAAAAGAATTCCTTGATTTTGCTTTAAGCCCCAGAAAGGGGAGAAATAAGACCAATTGATTGTATTGTGATGAAGCAGCAAATTAATCATTTGGTCCCCAAAGCTGCAGAAAATCTGTTTTAATCTTTGACCTTCTGAAGGTTGGAGTCACTCTAAAAAACCAAAAGAAGAAAATCCTGAAAGGGTTTGTTCCAGAGGAAATTTTGCACATGGTTTAATGTGAGTAATTTAAAATAAAACTACTGCTGTAAAGTACTCAGTCAGTCTCCTCGTGTGTGTAATGTCCCGTCCTTGAGTGACTTACTGCACACCTGCCATATGTAGCATCCTGAAATCTGTATATTTATTTAAATCTATTGATTTTTTTAGACAGTAATTTTCAATGTATAATTTGTAATAAATAATGACAACAGTCATTGGTACTTTCCTTCCTCATTTGGTGGCTGGGGGGTGGTGGGTGAGGTGAAAGAAATCCAAAACAAATGGGAAGGAGAGTGGGAATGGGGAGGCTGGGAATGGTCCTGGGCACATTTCAGTTCCAAGTGAACCCATCTAGAATCCTTTTGGCTGACTTAAACACTCATTAACTTCAACACTTTCTTCCATCCTGGATTTCTCTGGCAGCAGGGATGGGGAGTTATCCCCAGGTTTGTGGATGTGGGACCAGTTTGGATCCTCGTGCCGAGGGATCCTGGTGGTGTTTGCCCACAGTGGAGTCCAGTCCTTCCCAGCCCTGTGGCTGTGGGGTCAGCAGGGCAGGGACTCAGCTTTAGATCTGGGAAGGGTTCCTATTTTTATTTTTATTATTATTACTATCCCATCTAGAATTAATATGTTTGTTTATTTATTATTATTATTATTGTTATTGTTATTAATAATATTTCAGTTCAAAGGGCATCATCTAAAGGATGATGTGAAGATGTTGAAGGCTCAGGAGGGGCCCCAGCCTTTCCTATTCCCTGATTTTCCTGGCTGAGCTGCCTCTCCCATGGCCAAGCCTCCACCCCAGGGCTTGGTGTGAAAACCAGAGTCCCTCAGATGTTCTTGTGAAAATAAATCGTTGTTCCTGGGAATTTAATGGTAAAGGTACATGATAAAAAGGAGCTGGAATTACAGATAAAAGGGGAAAAAAAGTACCTTGGAGCACTGCAAGTTCCCCGTGTGGTGTGTACAATATCCATGGTGGAGTTCTCCCTTCTTCTGCCCAGCTGGGCTCCAGAACAGGCCTGGAATTGTGCCTGTTTTGGTTCATTCCACGGGCCCCTGCTGGGGCTGGCTGCAGAGCTGTGAACGGGGCAAATGAGGATTTTCTGCATTTCCCAGGAGAGATTTCCCCATCTCTGCAATGTCCACTGAGCCAGCCCTGGGATTTTATTTGTCCTGCTGAAGTTCCAAAGCAACCTTGGCTAGACCTTGGTCCCAGAGGGGAAATATCCCTGTGTGGGATGCTCAGGGCTCCTGGCACCAGGAGAACCCCACATTTTGGGAGGTGGGACCACAGGAGATGCTCTCCAGCTCTGCCACAGTGCCCGGCTGTGGAGCAAAGAGGGAAAACCTGAAATAATCATTGAGGGGGGCAGGGCTGAGAGTTTTTTGGGCCCTAAGATCAATTAACAGAGGAAATTTTGACACAGGAATAACGGGAAATATTCCAGGGAGGTTCCCCCACATTCAAGGGGGGAAACTTTGGACCCAGCATTGAGAAACAGAGAAAGAAATCCTAAAAAGTGCCCTGATCCCAAAAGCTCAGCAGAGCCTCTTGCTGGGATGTCCTACAACACCCCTCAGTGCCACCAAGGACTGAGGGACAACCTGAGCCTGGCAGGAGCCCCTGGTGGGGCTGGACTGATGCCAACCTCTGAGCAAAGCCTTGGGCACAGCTCTAATTACCAGCCCTAATTAGGGAACGCCCGAGGGAAGAAGATGCTGAAGAGCATCTTAATTAGGGTGAGAAGGGATAAGAGAGGACTGCGCTTGTTCTTGAGTTATTTAATCTGCTGATAAAGATCAGCTGAAGGAGGCTGAAGGAGGCGTATTTTATAAATTCTCACAGGTAACAGGAAAGAGCAGAATAATAAAACTTCATTTAAGTGGAAAATTCAGGGAATCAGGCAACTTCCAAAGGCAGCTCTGAGTACAGAGATGGAGCATTTTTAATAAGCTTCAGCTTTTTTCCCTATTGACAATTCCCATCCAAATGGACACCTTGTGCCCTGCATGTGACTCTCCTACTTTTCAGGAATTCCTGGAAAAAGCCCTTCCCTAATGGTCCACAGGCAGCAAACTTCCCTCCTACACTGTGGGACAGCAATATTTTTTTTTTTTTTTGATGGGACTTTGTTCCCTTTTAGTATCTGTTGAACTGGTTCTGCCTGGGAGAAGATGTGGTGACATAAAATGAGGTGAAGTTGGAAGAAGCAGCCCCAAACCTGTGGAGGAGGCTCTGCCAGGCCACCAGGAGATTTTGCAGGTAGATTTTACCACAGAAACGGCTTTTGGTGATTTTGGCTTCTCATCTCAGGTGAGCAGGGAGAGGAGGAGAAAACTGAAATGGTCCCAGCCACATTAAGGGGTCACACAGTTTAAAATTGCATTAATTAGCTGTGCTGGGTAACAAATGAGCTCCAGGTAAGCACATCCTGCATGAAACTCTCTGTCCCCTGTGCTGGGGACAGGGAGGGAGGTGCCACTGGCTCAGCCCGTGCTGGGAATTGTCATTGCTGAGTGCCTCTGGAAGCACAGCCTGGAAAACAGGGTGTGAACACCTTGCTGAGCATCTGTCCCTGTGCATTAGTGGGAAAACACCTCAAGGGCTGGTTTCTGAGGGGGAGAATGACAAAGCTGATCTGGGAGACTTTCCCAGACTCTGGGATCTCTTCCTGCCTGTGGTGGGTCCATTCAGGCAGCAGCCACAACTCAGAGCCCCCACAGAGGCTGGAAAATCCAACCGGGAATTGGGAGAGCCCCACAGAGGCTGGAAAATCCAACTGTTAATTGGGAGAGCCCCACAGAGGCTGGAAAATCCAGCTGGGAATTGGGAGAGCCCCACAGAGGCTGGAAAATCCTCTCCCATGTCCCTCCAAAGAGAGGGATGTCCCCTTGGCACATCCATTCATTCTGGCCCCATTATTTACACTACGTGGTACCCAATAAGTCACCCTGAAACTTTTTTAGTTTTAATCCATGAAAATCTCCACACCTTCATTCCAGCAATGAGACTGTAGCAGTTTAGAGAAGATCTGGGGTGGGGAATGAGCCCCTCCCCAGGGATTCCATGGCAAATCCGAGGTGCTGCTCTGTGACTTTGTTTTTAAAAGGGAGTAATTCTCCCTCCAGCTCTGTTGCAGAGGGGGGAGGAGGAGGGAGCATACACGGAGCAATTAAGAAAAATGTCTTTGACCTTCAGCAACTTAATCAGTTGCCAGTGTTCTTCCTAATAGTGTGCTAATGGTTAAGTTCTTCTTGCTGCCATAAAAAGTGCTATAACTGGAGGCTACAATAAAGTGCTGATCAACCCATCAAGTGAGTCAATCCAAAAGTAATATCTGTCTTTGTAATGACTGTAATAAAAGCCATGCCAAAGCCAGGAGATGACGTGAATAAGAATGCTGCTTAATTATGCTGGGCTGCTCTGCTGGGTGCTTGTGCCACACTGCCAACCTGCTCTGGGGTGACACTGCCACCCCAATGTGTGGGGGGAGCCAAACTTTGTGTTTGTGTGGTCTCCAAGGACAGTCCTGAGGGGTTTGGACAGATCTCCAGCCAAGCCAAGCAGAGTTTTGGTGGATAAAAAGGTGTTGAATTTGGGTTGGGGCTGTTCGTCCTGACAAAATGCAGGAGGGAGGCATCACTGTGATTCCCTCTGGGAGAGATTGGGGCTGGGAAAAGGGGAAAAGGGTTTCTAAATTTTAGCTGTCCTGGTGTTAAAGACAGCAGGTGAAGGCTTCCTGTGCTAAAAAGGGATTGATGACAGGAAGCAGAAAGAGGGGGAAGCCAGGATCAGTCAGGGAGACCCTTCCAGGCACTGGGGTGGACCTGAGGGGCTGAGTGGAAAAA